TATTAGTGTCTCCACATCTCTTAGGACATCTGATATTTGCATACCAGAATTTCAATTGGTATCAAAATAAACATCATGCTCTGTATATGGGTGAGATTCAGAGAAGATACTTTCTGGTGCAATGGACAATGAAGGAGTGTTTGTTATCAAGCTACCTATTTGAGTACTTTATTTTCTTTTGATATGGTGTTTAGGGGGATAATTAACCACTAATTTAGGTAACTGATGTTGGCTGCTATTGAGGGGGAAAATTCTGACTCTCTGAGTTGTTTCTTAGTAGGATTGAGTTGTTGTGAAGAGACGCCAAACATAATATCCTGACATATCTGACATGATGAGAATTTAGTTTTCTCAATGTTGCTGTGATTGCAGATTCCACTGACTGATACTCTGACATTTTATTCTGCTGCTCATATCTTTGATATTCTGTTATGTGTGTTTAATTTAGTTTCAAACCTATGTTATTTTGCTGGAATCTGAATTGTGGTATTTGTGTGCATGTGGTATTTATGTGCAAGGATTGTAAAATTATTTTAGTCAAAATTTATCAAAGGGAGTGATTGTTAATTCTCAATTTTTATGATTAGCATTAATTTTAGTAAAACTAATTTTGGCAGCAACATGTTGAATAGGATGTTCTAACTTGCAGAGAAAACATGTTGGACAAGATGTCCTATCCAAATCATTCAACATTGTGTCTGTTATAGTTGTGCACTTGGATATATTTGGTTATAACAGATTCTGAATATTCTGAGAATATTAGATTATCCTATGTGGCGTCCAAGACTGAAGAATCAGAGATTCTATTTGAATTTAAAAGATTATTTTGTTTTTCTAAATGTTAGAGATATTTTAGGAAACATTACATTGAAGACCTATTTTTATGCAGAAGATTCTGCAGATATTTAATAGCAGCTCTGCTGCGTTTTTTAAGCCCAAAATTCAGGCCAGATGTTGCTTATAAAAGGAAGTCTCTAAACCTAAAGAAGATATGAGCCGCATATATAAAATTGTCAATTATTAGCGCTTCGTCTGTTCATTGTTAATTGTGAGCCACTCTTGTAATGTTTGATGCTTTAGTTGGACTGTTAGTTGAGTTGTAATTGTGAATCACTCATAAGCTTTTTAGTAGTAGTTGATTCTGTTTATAGGAAGTGTGTCTTCTTTTATTGTTATTGTTGTTTCATCACTGTTGTGATTGAAAGAGATTGAGAAGGGTCTCATACCTAGGTGAGTCTTAGGCAGAAGTTAAGCACAAGTAGTGATTAGGTGAGTAGATTGTACACTGGAGATAGTTTGTTGAGGATCTACGAACTGATACTATTTAGTTAATTTCATCTCTGACTTGGTAGCCCTCAAACGTAGGTGTTGTTGTACACCGATATGAGTTAACAATTATGTGTGTTTCTTTACCTTTCAAATAATCTTATTTGTGTTTATATTGTCATTGTGTTTTGATCAGATATCAGTGTCTCGACATCTCTTAGGATATCTAATATCTGCATACTAGAATCTCAAAAAGTATCATAAACATAGAACATTGACATAATACTCTTTTTTTTTATGGAAGATTGGATGATTTTGCGTCAAGAGACATATAACATATTGCTAAAAAACTCGAACGAATGAAGAAAGTAAGGGTGTGTTGGTTCAAGGATTCGAAAGAAATTCTCAAGAATAAGTTATTTGAGAATAAAAATAAGGAAATTTGATTCTCAAATATTTTTAAGAAAATGTGTTTAGTATATTATTTGATAAAGAAGTTTGATTAAGTGGTTTAGTTTGATGAAAATTTAAAATTAAGTTATTAAGAATTATTGAATTTATTTAACTTTTTATAGGTATTATGATAAAACTATCAATAAATTTGTTCAAGTCATATAATTAAAAGTAGCTTAAACAAAAAAACGAGTGATTGAAAGAATACTTTTAATAACTCTAAATCAAATGCTAATAAAGAAGATAAACTTTAATACTTTCACTGCAAGTAAAATAAAGCAACAATTCTAGAAAACACTAACAATGATCATGAATCAATTCTCCAAGCATATAGAAAATGAAAAAAACTTCTTGTAGGTGAATTATCATCTACTAAGTCATATTTGCTACAATCTTCATTTATTTCTGTGCATTCTTTGCCATTAGAATCAATAGCATGTTCCATGGATCCTGGCTTGAAAATAAACAAGGCAGGGCCTGAACCAAGGTCGTTGAACAACCAATCATGCACATCCCAAAGTATCTGTACAGGTAAATTATTCACCATTACAATTTCATTTCCTCTAAATTTCCAATTCAAGTTCATTATTCTACTAGCCAACACCCCATCTATGCTAATCCACATTTCTGGATCATCAGGCCCAAAAAGGGATGTCTCGATAACGACATCGTGTTCGGGCTTACCCTCTTCCAACATAGCCTTGGTACAAAATAATGTTTTTCCTTGTACATTCTCTTTCTTGCATAACAAGGTAGATTCTTCTAAGGACGGTTTTGATTTGGTTCGTTCATAAGCATCGTTTTCTAAATCTCCAAGTAACAAAAGTACCTTTTTCTTGTAAACCAAGGCAACATAATAACCTGAGCTAGGTTGTGGACTATTGGAGAATTTCGCATGTCGAAAATCCCAATAAATATCTACTCTCGACCCTTCTACTTCAAAGGATTTGAGACCTTTTTTCCCCCAAGATTGTCCCGATGCTAAATCAATCTTGCAGATAAATTTGTCTTCGTCAAAAGGCTTTTCCACAATCATAGAAAGGGTATGTTCTATGAGGTTCTTGCACCATGTCAATGCTACACTACGAAATGAATCTCCTAATTTTGTTTGATAGACAAAGGTAACAAAATTATGAGGGGTGTATTTTTTTATGGCATTATCTTTTGAAGCTTTCTTCAATGGTGGTGGCTCAGGAACGCTCAATGGCCCAACTTTGACAGAAGAGTTAATCGTTGATATCGACATCAACTATATAACTCTTACAACAATCCAAAATAGAATCTTCAAATATTTATGATTTTCTTATAGGATTGAAAGATGATCCTCTTTGTCCTCCATAGAAGTTTCTTCATTTTGGATTCTGAAATGTGCAAAAACCAAGAATCACTTTTAGGAATAAAATATATGTTGAGGTTGTTAGTTAGGTGTTAACAATAGAAGTTTCTTCGTTTTGTTTTTGTCTATTAATAGGTTAATGTTTCTTAACTTAAAAAATAAAAATAAGTTGCAATGCTACAAATTATAGTAAATATCATGTTTGGTAGATGATCTTTTGATCTTTATATATATAAACAAATTTTATTCCTATAATTAGGTTTGTTGAATTTTGTTTTTAGTATTCACAAATTAGCATATAATAATGATTTTATTTCATTTTGGTTTGCAGGTTTATTTATTTTCAAAATTTGTTTTTGAGTGATTATTTGAGAAAAGTGTTATTGACTCATTTTTGAAGTCATGATTGATAAGTTTTTTGGACTGGATATATTGATCCCGGTCGACCACTCTTAGAAAAATGATAATCCTTCTAAAATCTTTTTAGCACACGAGAATTCTTTTCATGATGATGATAAATATCTCAACTGCAAGTGTATCCAACAGCTCTCCGCAATTTACTCGTAATCAATAGCGAGTTTGTTAGTTCCTCTCTACTATATAGGTTGAGGATGAGTATCGTTGTCGTCTCTGATTCGCTTGTTCGCCTAAGACATCTTATGAAAAAATACGGAATAAGTTGTTTTAATTTATCAATAAAATCTTTTATCACGGTTAAACATCATAACCGTAGTGGAAATTTAAATAATCAAACAACGGTTGAGACAATCAACCGTAGTGACATCCCTTTTATTTTTTATTTATAAATAAATAAAAAAGAAAAGACGCGCCTTAATGTTAAAGGAATATATTATTTGATGTAGCTGAGGTTCAAACTCAAAAATATTTGATTATATAACCACAATTATGACAACAACCGTTATTATATCCTAACAATTTTTAATTAAAAAAAAATGCTAGCGCCTGTGTTTAGAGATGTCACCACGGTGTTGGGAAGAACCGTGGTGAATTGAGCGTTGTTGTTTGCGCGTTTTGTTAGTAGTGTGAGTATGAAAGGGGAAGTGTATGACACAATTATATGAAATAAAAGTATTTTATGAAGATGCATCTCCAAATTAACCTCATATATACGAAGATCAATCTCCAGACTAAATTTTGATAAAATAAAGATGTTTTATCAATTTGCGCTAAAAAATGTATAAAAAATGTGTGTGGGACATGCATTTTTAAGACTAATTGTGATTTTTTATTTTTTGGGTGGGTGAAACCCCTAAGAGTGGGAAAAGTAACTCACAAAATTTAATACTTTTTTAGATTCAATGGGCCACAATCTTTTCTAAGCTATCTTGTTGAGCTGAATAGTATGTTGTTATATCAATAATTAAAGAGAGTATTTTTTTTAACTTGTTGATTTATTAATATAAATAATTTGTTTACATACAACTTCCAATTTCTAACCCAACTAACAATTACCAATTAAGTTACTCCATGCAATCTCTATTAAAGAGAGTTTGATTCAACGACCAACTCATAACCTAAAAAACTAAATTTTATATATTAGAATTTTAAACGAAGATGTGTTCAAATTAATTGCATTTCTATTCTTAACTCAATCCGTTGATATATCAATATTTTACCCTCTACTCATCATCATGAGCCATCATGTTTATCATATATACTTGTTTATGATTGATCAGTTATTTATACAATCAAAATCAAGATATGAAGTGAGTAAACCTTGAATAAGAACAATATAAACACGAGGCAACATAAAAAAATTGTGTCCTATAGAAACAACCTCGTGATTACAAAGGAGCATGACAAAACACAACATCAGATAAAGATCACAGAAACAGACCTCAGAACTTGAGATCTTTACAAAACTATAAGTGGCAATTCAACATGCACATAAAAAACAATCGCTATACATAAACTGAACTCATCATTATAATACAAAAAACTTTCCTCGTGGCGTAGATCGGCTTCTTTTAAGTTCATGCATGGATGAATTGCGACCACTTAAAAGTTTGTTTTCAACTTTACTAGAAGACAATGGTTCAGCTCCTTGCATAATACATCTGCATGTAACCAAAACAAATGCTTATTTATGGTTTTCAATGATAAAACTAAATAAGTAGAAAACTTGGGTGGTTCTTTTAGCCATCCATACCTTGATTCAAGATTCTGAGAATTCCTTGAAATGTCGTGACGTTTCTTATGAACATTTGATGCACTATTGATTGTAGACTCCATAAAGCTAAAATCATTTTCTGGTTCTGAGTAATCACGCTTTCGAGGCGGCTCTATGATTTCATCAGTCTTCCGAATCCTAAAAGGAGATTGTTGAAGATGTCTGGCCTTGACCTTATTATTATTATCAGCTTTGCTTTTCCTAACACCAATTTGTTTTACTACTGCAAATGGTTGTTTGAACTGTTCCTCTTCATGTTCTTGATGAACTTTCCTAAGGCTTACTTTCTGAAGATTATAGACAGGTTCAGAAATGTTGCCGTGCCTCACCGCCTCTTGTGAATGCAGATGGACGTTTGAGTTATGTTCTGTAGATGGTGTCATTGTGACAAGAGATTTGTTTACAGGTACTCTAGCTGGAATTAGATGCTTCAAAATTGGTTGGTTTTCTACGTTGTCAATTTTGATCTTGCTTTTAGTGACAGAACCTCTATCCGTGGAAATCGATCTTCTGACTGGAGGTGATGGTGATCTATTGTGCTTCCCTGAGCTAACTGACTTTTCTTCAGAAAGAAGAGACATTCTCGGTATGGAGTCCTTGTCCATGTATGTTGAGAGAAATCTCGACCTTCTTTGCTTACCCGAAGAATAATTTTTAGCCTGAAAATAGAAATTTCGATTTAGATAATACAAAGTATGCTAGTGTCTGGTGTCTAATACATCTGAGAGTGTTCGTGACTGTGTGAATGCTTCTTAGTTAGTATGACGTACTAGTACTAGTTAAGTATTGTTTTATTACAGAAATTCACTAACCTCGGAGCTTCTATCATCAATGGATCTTTGACCAATTTCAGGCTTCATGCCGCCACTTGTACTATATTTGGGCAAACGGAAAGGTGAAACAGCTCTTGATTTCTGAGATTCTGTTGCATTCCGTGCATTTCCAGATTTCAATTGCTCCATTTCAGTTTCCTTTCTCTCCAATGCCAATTTGATATTTGATATCTATAAAATGTTTAAACTGGTATTTAGCAGAGTTCATTAGAAAATTGCACTAGTTATTATTATGATGATAGAAAAACACACCTCTTCCTTTAGCTCTCGGATTTCACCGGTTTCTTTATTAGATTTAGCAGCTCCAAGTTCAATAGATGCAACCCTCTCAGCAAACTTCAATGTGCTAATTGTCTCCCCAAAGGCATTGAGTTCAGGATTTATGTGAACAAACATCAAAGTCTTTGCATGACCACCTATTAGTATGAAAAAATAAATAAACACAATGTTAACTAAGAAACTTGAAAATAGAAAATGGAAAATATCAGTATTCAGATTGCATGGTTACCTAATGAATCTTGTAAAACTTGTGTAAGCTTGCTATTTCTGTAAGGAATATGTTGACTCTTCTGCGCCAAAGCCGAGATAACGTCGCCAAGTGCAGAAAGAGATTTATTAATATGTTGTGCCTCCTTTAGTCTCTCTCCAACAGCCTCAGATTTCTCCACTCTCTCACTTCCAGCCAAATCCACGAGATGGAGACAACCCTTAAGAACTGAATTAGAAACTAAGTCTCTTCCTCTTACATGAATTGTCAACACACTGCAATTAGGTGGTAAAGAATTTTAGCAAGTTAAAATATTAATGGTTAGAGATTATGGGGAAGATACTTAACCTATGAGAACGGCTGCTTCGTTCATTTAGAGCAGTAGCACCCACGGCACGGTTCTTTTGACCAATTTTCATTAAATCAAGAACATCTTGAGTACAACTAACCGGAACCAAACATGCATCAGGCACATTAAGTCCATTCAACTGAGAGTTGTTTCGTATATCTAATGTATATATTGTCAAGAAAATGAACAAGCCAAAAACTAAATGTTGTTCTAAAATCAAAAAGTAAAGAATTTGATGTAACAAATGCAATAAATAAGGTATTGTGAAGGATATCTTCTGTTAGAGCCATCACTGACTAATAAATCTCTAACTTGTTCATTGTATATTTCAATCATCTGGACGCTAACTTCGTATTTGATTGCATCTGCTCTTTCCTTTGATATATGAAATAAGTCGCGCAAAGCTCTATAGTTTACGCCCCATGTCTCTTCAGTCATTAGATCTGGACCACTCTACACAAGCACTAAATCCAGTTAATTACCTTGAAATATTATGAGTTATCTCTGTTTAGACTTGACTTAGATTTCAAGTTTCACAAGAATACATATGCAAAAAATACCATCGTGTAGGTCTTCCCGGAGCCAGTTTGTCCATATGCAAAGATGCAAGCATTATAGCCATCTAAAACAGATCTAACCAATGGCTGAGTATCGACATATATTTGTTCTGCAGAAGAAAAAAATATCATCATATATAAAGCTTTATAATATGATAAGAAAGTAGTAGAACATAGTATTACATTGTGGAATAATATGTCAAAAATTTAAAATACCTTGTGTGGCATTTGTTGTGAACACCTTATTGAACGAAAATACCTTTCTCGCATCTTTTCCTTGCTTAAGGGGATTCACAATCATTATATTTCCATCTTCTCCTATATAGTCAACTGTCGATTGTCCGTTTGATTGTTGGCCCGGTAAGAATGGTCTCACTCTACAATAGACCCTAATGGCTCCTATAAGACAGCATGCTTATTAACATATATATAAATCATGTATGTAGTTCGTTGAAAACGTGTTTGGTTTCATATTTTACGTACCTTTGAGGTCTTGTACTTGATTGTAAAGCAAGCGGTTCTCCTCTAAAACTTTGTGGTAGGAAGAGGATGTCACCTCAAGGCTCTTTATATGATTCTCTAAAATAACAAAGAACTCAATCAAGATTATGAAAGAATATTTCTCTAAAACAGTTCGTATGCATGGAGGTAGTTTCTCATGGAAGAGTGATTCTTAGATAATTACCGAGCCGGATTTGTTCTTTGTCCCATTGATATTGAATCTGTTTTACCTCCTGCTTTATCTCCTCCAAGATGTATTTCATTTCCTAGAGAAAGAAAAATTATCATTAGAGTGTGTGTGGTGCTATGCTAATATGATCTTTTTGTGATAAAGCGTCTAAAGCAGTAGATGCAATTTTCTCAATAATATACCTCGAGTTCTTTCTGCTGAGCATCAATTATTTCAGCATGTTTGGTAGAATAATTGACATTATGCTGAGTGCTATTATCGCGTTTTCCGCCACAGGTGCAGAAAGTGCTATTACTGCATTTTCTGCCACAAGTGCAGAATATAGATAAATCGTTCGACGCCAAACTACTTCTTTGATTAAGATATAATGTGATAGCTTCCATGAATTCTCTCTTAGAAAGACAGTCATTATCTCCTTTCAATATTTTCTTGAGGAAAAATGCAAGCTGCAGACAATTTTGTAGAACTATATTGTAGATGGTTTTTTGATGTAAGGAAAACGAAAAGACTGAATTATCGCCAAGTGTAATATGCGATGTCGGAAAAAAACAGAAGCCTAGGTACACAGTAGCAAGGCAAAAAGATACATGAACTTTGAAATACCTGAGTGCCTTGAGAAGCAAGTAATGCAGAGAAATCCCTTACTATCTTGTTCAGAAATGTATCAATTACCTACAAAATTTAACCTACCAAAATAAGATTGCACGAACCTTTACGCGTGAATTCAATTTCTTAGAAATCAAGCAACAAAACTAGTGTAGATTCAACTAAAAAATTATAGCACAACGGAAAAGATCTTACCGACCATTGCATTGAGTGGTAGATCATCAGCTTCATCGGTCTCTCTGACGAAAGCCTGGAGAAGTTTGAGTCCAAAGTGATCAAACAGGAAAGCCAGAGCACTCGCAGTTTTGGTTTCTTCAATTGAAACCTCCGGAGACATATGAAGAAATTCAAGCAACTGTTGATACTGCGAGGATTGAGCTTCCTCGAGGGACTCATCAGCACTTTCACTGCCCAAATTGGAAGAAGGAGTTCCTTTGGGGAAAGAAGTAATCCTAACAGTTCCACCATACCTCCAAACCCCAACTCCACCTGATAGCTTCCATTCATAATACCCTTTCAAACACAGAATGCAGTCCACAACTTTACTTGATGAACCGCCCTATAGTCACACAAAAACAAACATTAAACCTCCAAAAATAGAAAAGTTGGAACCCTAAAACCCTAAAAGTTGGAAACTAATATGGAAATTGAGACTCTTATAATTTGGTCTTGCTCCAAATTCAACACAACCAAAAGCTCCTATGTGCATATTATGAATTGAAAGTCCAAACCTTTTCCAAATCAGAAGCTTCAAAGGTCAAGAGAGTCATATCCTCAACAGCATCAAGAAAATTCTTCATGTTTTCAAAATACTGAATAGCAGAATGTGCATGTCCCTCCAAAGAATCAACCTCAAGAACATGATTATCCACCACCTTAAGAATAGCACCCGGATTAACTCTATTAAGAACATTACAAAGAATAAGCCCATTCCGAAGAGCACCACAGAACTCTTCCTCAGAAGGTTGTTTACTCAATGTTAAACAAGCCACTTCATCCATTTCTCTTAGCCATTCCGCTGCCTCATTCCTCCTCAACGCTACAAAGTCCAAACACAACAACATTATAGTATAAAAACAAAAGCACAAACAAACATCATTGGAATAAATGTAACAATGTTTCTTAATTACCTGCTTCTTCTGCTTTTCTATGAGCCAATTCATGATCATTGATCTCATCATTCACATCACTGTTATTAAAAACTGAACTCTTCAAATTCAATATCCTTTTGGACGTTGATGCGAAAATCGAGTTTAATAAGCTATTATCCTGAGGCATACTAGCAATTAATAATGCAGTTTGAAAAATTTGAAGAAGAAGATTTGTGTAATGAGATGAGATCTGAAAGAAAAAAACTGAAGAATTGAAGAAGAAGAAGAAGGAGTGAGATTCTCGTGAGTTTATTGAATGAGCATTCAAAATGTTACTACAAGAAGAGGGTTACATTAAATGTTTGGTTTTAATGTGAGTGAGTGAGTGTGTGTCCGTTGAGGTTTTTGTTAGTTAAAAAAGAAACAGAAAAGTTTGAAAAAGTGAAAGTGTTTTAATTTGAAAAAATAAATCGTTGGTGTCTCCGTTGGTTGTTGTACTTGAGAGGATGACGGTGCACTAACGCCGTAACTGATGTGGCATGTGATTCGTGGGACCCGTTTATCAACGGTATGATCCGGTTAAATTATGATGGTGAAGTGTTTGAATGGAAAAAATGAGTTTTGAATTACTATAGTGTTTTTCAAACATAAAAAAAATTATATTTTATATATAAAACAGAATTATTTATTTAATAGTTTATTTACTATTAAAAAATTTCTTTTTTAGAATCTTGACTATTAAAGATCATTTTATCCGGAACATTATTAGGGATATTTTTAAGGGATTTACAATTTGATACTCTCTTAGCAAAATATATAAATTTATGACTTTTTTATTTCTTAAATTGAGTCAAAGGGAATTGATGAAACTCTCATAGGTGAACATCGGTATGTAGTGATAGAAATCTAATAGATCTTTCATAACGAGCTTGACTATTTCTTTTAAAAATAAATCAAGACTCGTTGCAAAAGGATACAATCAACAAAGACTTAAGGTGTGTTTGGTTTGAAAGAGAAGTTGTGAAGAGAGAAATAGATAAGAGAGAGTGTAAGAAGAGAGAAAAAGATGATAAATAAAGTAGATTTGAGGTATTGCTTGATTTAAGAGAATGAGAGAAGAAATAAAGAAGAGAGAAGTGTTGCATATTTTTAAAAGTACTATAATGTTCTTATGATAAATAACATTTAAAAAAAAAATATTTATAATTTAGGACAATATAGTAGCTTTCTTATATTAATTTGTTTCTACTCACTTTTCTCTTCATAATTGAGGAGAAATATAAAAGGTGTGAGACCCACTTTTTTTTTTAATTTCTCTTTTCAACTTCTCTTCTTTCTAAATAAGAAAAGTTACCAATCTCTCTTCAACTTCTCCCTCACCTATTTATCTCTTTCTTACTTCTACTCTACCAAATACATCCATAGAATTCGATGTGACCTATGCCATTATAGCTGGATTAGAAGCCATAAAGATACTTTTTGCTTCCTCGTACATTTTTTTACTTTCAAAAATCTTCCAAATAGATGTAATGTGGGTGGTTCTTGAATGATTACAAATAAAAATAAATGTTTGTTGATAAAATTATCGGGTTTCTAAACTCTTCTTTTCTAATCATGTTTTCAAAATTGAAAAAAAAAAACTCTCTACGACTTAAAACAAGCTCCTAGAGTTCAATATGTTTGTTTGAGCAAGTAACTACTTGAAAACCATTTTCAAAGAGGTAAGGTTGATAAAAATCCTTCTTAGAATCAACTGTGACATTTTACCAGTGCTTATTTTTGTCGATGATATTATCTTTATGGATCTTAGTGCTTGTAGGTATAAAGTTGACAATCTCGCAAAAGATCTACTCTGATATTTTAATGATTTTAAATAAAGTGTGAGAGCTCGTCAGATCAGGTGTGTCTGTCTATCTGAGTGACCCGAGTTTTGTAAAAGTAAGAAACAACTTTTAAAGTGCTAAGGCAACTCATAAACACACCTTAAAATTCTTTTGAAACACTTTTACCATGAAAATTGTTTTCTAGGCCAAGCCAAGTAATTAAGAAGTTTTTCTATCTATATCCAAAGCTTTTTTGAACTAATCAATCGATTGGATACTTAAGCTAATCGATTATCAAAACTTTTCTTCCAGCCAATGGATTAGAGTTATGTTAATTGATTAGAGAATGGCTAATCAATTAACCAAGTGATTAGGAATGCACCTTAATGACCTACAATGACTATATATCAAATATTTTCTTGTTGGACAAAGCAATCGATTAAAATGGACTCAACCAACGGATTGGAACATTGTGCCAATGGATTGGAACATTATGCCAATCAATTGGCCCATCAGTTCGACCTATGACACCACTTTCCAATGATTTACATTTTCTTTAGAATTTATCTCTCTAATTTTCTTCTTTCTCTCTCTAGAAAATATTTCTTTCACTTTAAACTACCTTAGTGCTAGTACATAAAACTTTGCTTACAAGGAAGATTTTTTTCAAGTGGTCATGTTATTTGTTTGATTCTTGAGAGTGTGATACTCTTAAGAGAATTGAGTTTTATTCATGAGATAAACCAGTCTTAAAATCTCTCTACTTTGGTTTATTGAGATTTGTTGGAAAAGTTCTTCTTTTGGTTATTGAGATCGACCTTAAAATCTCTAAGAAGGTTCTAACTTAGCTTGTGGTAAAAGCTATTTGTGGTTGGGGATAAGCCTGTAAAAATATCAAGATCAGATCGTATAAAGGTTCGTGATAAACTTCAAAAGCTCAAAGTTTATATTCAAACTCTAAAGAAGACCTCTTGGGAACAGGACTAGGCCAACGTTCGGCTAAATCTGTATAAATATCTAATGCAATCCCTATAACCCTACCCTTTTAACTTTTTTCATTTACTTTTATTATTTATTTGCGTTGTAATTAACTCATACTAAACTACTAACACCATATTAATCGGGAAAAGTATAAAAGTAATCACAAATTTTAAATACCATTGACCCCCTCTTGTGCTTGAAGTCACTTGTTCAACAAGTGGTATCAGAGCCTAACTCTTGTATGGACTAATCATCTCAAGATGAAAAATGACTTCAAGTTATTCACTAAACAAAACATCATTCTTTAATGGAGAAGGGTATAGTTTGTGGAAAGAGAAAATGAAGTTTTTCATAGAAGGAATTGATCGCGGTATTTGAAAGGATGTGAATGAAGGTCCATTTATTCCTACACACAAAGTTAATGGTGTTGTAGAAAAAAAACCTAAAAAAGGATTGAACCAAATATAATAAAGAAAATGTGCAGGACAACATGAAGGCAAAAGCTTTCATCATTACCGCTCTTGGTCTTGATGAGTTTTTGCGAGTACAAGACTGCAAAATAAATATGAGACATCCTTCAATCACCCCTGAAGGAACTACTGAGACAAATAGGGTAAGGTTAGGCACATTAATTCATGAGTATGAGCTCTTCAAAATGAAACCAGAAGAGAGCATTAATCAAATGTAAACATGATTTACCCATATCATGAGTCATATGAGAACTCTGAGAAAAACATTTTGAAATAAGAAACTAGGCATAAAAATTCTTAGATGCCTAAAGTATAGTTGGCAACCCAAAGTCACTGCGATTTGTGAATCTAAAAATTTAGCAACTATAGACACACACACACACACACACACACACACACACACACACACACACACACACACACACACACACACACACACACTTTGGCAAATTAAAGGAACACGAGATGGAACTAAAAATACTTATTGATGACGAAGAGGATAACAAGAAAAAGAAGAAAAGTATCTCACTAAAAGTCACAAACATTAAAGATATAGAGTCAGAAGATAAAGAGTATAAAATCAAATGTAATGAGTTCATGGAATTCATGTTTTGTAAATTCATAGATTTCCTAAAGCATGAAAAAGAAACTTCAAGGCTCCATAAGCAAAGTAAATAAAGTTCCTTGTTCAATCCTACATGTCATCAATACAAATAAAAAGGGAACATAAGACCAAAATACCCTCAAAACCCGAGAAGAAACCAAAGAAAGTCTAATAAATCTCAAAGAGAAGAAAAGAGAATATACATATCCTGAGATAATTGTCATACCCCAATTTTATTAAGACTTTTTCAAAGTTTCAGGCAACTAGTTCAATTACGATTAAAATGAAATTGATGTTTTATAAACAGGACAGTTGAATCATTCTCTTATCGTGTGTAAAATATGCGGAATTTTTTTCGAGTTTCGAACATTATCGAACTGTTTTACGAAACTACGATGCACATAGGTCATTTTGGTATGTTCATTTATTTTTTCCGACTTTGAGAGCGGTCGTATTTTGATCGGTTAGAGCCTTTTTATCCTGGTATTTTTATTACAATTTTTAACATTTCCAAACACTTTTACTAAACTTTGTTGCACGCTGACTATTGTTATACGTTCATTTCATTTTTTCGATTATACGCCCGCCCGAATTTTATTCATTTCGATCCATTTTTTTCTTTTTTTAATTCAAATAAATAAATTTCTCGTTTTAGTTTATTGTTTATTTTCATTTTACATTTTATAATAAATTCAGCCAAGGGCATGTTTGGAATTTTTATCATTGGAAAAGCCATATATATATATATATATATATATATATATATATATATATATATATATATATATATATATATATATATATATATATATATATATATATATATATATATATATATATATATATATATATATATATATATATATATATATATATATATATATATATATATATATATATATATATATATATATATATATATATATATAATTGAGATGCATGAGCCAAGGGGAAAATAAATGAGGCGCCACCCCATTTAATTCCATGAACCAATCACATCTTGATTTTATAGATACCACCTTACTGTAAAAACCATATCCATCTTCTATCACCTACACCCTTCCAGATCTTGATTTTATTCATTCTACCACAATACAAACAACACTTAAGCATACCACACATGAGCATACAAACAACATTTAACTGCTAGAATATGATCTTAGCATCATTCACTAAAATCAACTAATTCGCAGTTCTTTTCTATCTTGAACTATAAAGCTCTGATTTTTCCATTGCACCTAGGAATACGTAGGGACAAAATTTTAAATTTTTGGCGAGCACAATAGTAAAAAACCTAATAAATATTTTC